GATCGGCTTAACCCACAAATCTGCACTCTTGACCGTAACGTTACGCGGCGTTCAAATGTGTCCCTCTCGCGGCCGTAAGATGGGTCAAGCTACTACTTCGCTTTCCATATTTAGAAATATGCCAGAACCAAGATATCTCTATCATATCCACTTGGCAGTAGCATCTGCTTACCAAAACTCCCTCCGCTATGTTAGGCTGTGCCGCAAATCTCGGACCCTACGTTACCGGACGAGTAGTATGTAAGACTACCAGTCGCTTCATCAACGTGATAAATCTGCATGCCTGTCGGTAGTACCGGATAGTTTAAACAAGCAAGATCTATTGTAATTCAAATGGCTCTTCCGTTTCGTAGTTTTTCCATAAAAGGATATTCTGGACTTTTTCCTAAATGTCTATCATCGTGAAGCATGAGGTAATCTGGATTAAATATGCTTAAGGTAACTAGACCCTTTCATGTAGATCCTAGAAGCCCTCCGTGAAGGGCAAGACTGAACACCTGTACGCGGTGTCCTCTACGAACCTGGGAGTGAAATATTCTCCTAGAGCCAAGTTCAGTCAAATTTCGCAATACCGAACAAGCTGGCCCACGAGGCAATAATTCAAATTACTCCACCACGTCAAATTTTCACTCCCAACGAAATCGATTCCTACCTAAGCCTCATCAAGCCTACAAGTACGACCTAGTACATCCTCATTCCAATGACCACACCTCTCGTCGACCTTCTCTGGCCTCAGTTGACCGCCAAATACATGCTCACGCCGATATTTACACCCGACGGAGGAAGCAAAGCGTGGCGCACAAATCTGGGAGACTGTTCTTTGGGATGAACGTGAGAGGGATCAGGAATAGTTGAAAAGATGATGCGAAGGAAGGATATAACCTCGAAGGGCGTGAGATTCCAAAATTTGGTAAGGAGTTTTACGAATTAGGCTATGTGCGCGCCAAGACTTCGCTTGCGAGATTGAAGTTGACACTATAAAAACAAGAAAACGATGGAAGGTGTTGTGGTCCGCCCCCTGGTGGTGTTCTCCGGTATAGTTTGAGTAGCCTGGGCACCTACTCCACTTAGGAAGGAGACATCTCAGACTACATTTCGCGCGGAGGAAAGTTGAAAGATGATGGAGGCATGTCTGGATAACTCAGGGTTTTTGAGACGTTCCCCGGGGTGGGTATTCACGGATGAGGGTTGACTTGGGGTGAAGAAAAAGACACCATAACTTCGCAGTGGTACTTGCAAATGAAATCTGAGGTATGAGTGCACTTCCTTTACGTTGAATCATCTATTCTGTACTTTTCTTTGACATTGTGTCATAGCTAGATAGCTTCATACGCAATTAAAATCTGATGCAAAAAAATATATATATATCTCACACCAACCGAGACCCCCTCTGGTGCAGTCTCGCTGACGAGGGTCAACCATTATACGTAAGCGCACGTGCATGATAGTGGTATTTGCCAGTGAAATCTAGTGTAGCTATCTCTGAAGGCGAAAGAATCATGTAACGTGAACTCATAGCACTGATCCTGACTTGGCCAGCAAAGACGAATTCCTCTCCTACCAGCAGCGCCAGTGAGAATACCCGCTACGCTCTGCATATCCGGGAGAGCCAGGAAGAGTCGAAATCATAAGCAAAGACGAGCATATCTAAATTCGACGGCTTCTCAATGTCGGTCCTGCCATTCTCTTACAGGCCCCTAAACTCGACATATCCATACACTACTTAGCCTCAAGACGGTTCAAGTAGCTGCTCCAATTGCAAACGGGAGCTTGGCCCGTTAATTCCCGGCCACTCTAACTACAGATTCATTTGGCTATGTAAACCCGCAAGGAGAAGTTTGATCATGTATACATAGCTCGGGTATTGGCTCAGGTAGGACCTTGTTCTACTGGTACAAACAGCTTGAGGGAGGATATGCGGCTGAGATATGGAGCTAGGGGAGGAAGGAGCTTCTGAAAACTATTCTGAGACTGGTATTTTGGAGGTTTTCAACTTTAGAACGTTTGTGGGCGCCAAGACCGAGATTTCGGCAAATTAGCCCGAAGGACTTCTATGGTCCGTGAGTCAACGGCTCTCTTCAGGGCCCTAGACGAGACAATAGGAGTTGGGCTAAGTAACTTTACAGTGAATACATTTTGTCATCCATATGGGTCAAAATGGGCAGCGTGTGATCTTCATGGGCACAATCAGATCTGCAGCGTCCAGCTAGTCGGCCTCCTCGAACACTTTAGAAAAGTGGCTATGTCCTCGGCGATAGTCCTGATGTTAGTATTAGGCCGGCCGGCGCTCAGTGGTTCTTGCGGTTTGCATAGCTATCATGCACTCGCAAATAGCCTTTGTTTCGTTGGCTGGAGAGAAGAGATGACGTAAGGAAAAGGGCCCCTCTTAGTGCATGATGGAATGGAGACTGGTGAGGGGAGCTGTGTAGGAGCATGGGAATGGACAAACTACTTGTACTGGTATCCTTGGCTTGTAAGCACAAAATACTTGCATAAACTACACAGTCTTAGGCCGAGAATGAGCAGTGCTATACAAAAAATCGAAAAACCGGTCATGTGTCAAAGCTAGACAGCTGAACTCACACAATATTGTTAGAAAAGAGACCAAGATGGATGCCTCGGGCGTTCAAACTTGATGCAGGAGTTGCTTGATCAGAACATGGTCGCAGGCCGTGCATATTTAGGTTGTTGGAGGAAGCAGACGTCCATCACTCTTTACATCTCGATACGTCAGGCTTTACCCAAGCAAATGATCCGCGGTCAGCATTTATTTGACTGTTAAAACTGTGCCTGCAGCTCTAATGCCATGGACTACCCAGCGCACCTGCAGCCTGTTAAATTGACGTCCGTGCGCTTTATGGCTTGAGATTTGTAGACCGCTTCAGAGTTTCCGTCTCACCCCAGCTCAAGCTGTGTTGGATTAGCAAAGCCCAAATCTCAGCTTTCCCCATTAATTCTAGAGGCTAGTTTGCGCAAGTCCTGCGCTGAAGCAGAGAGGCTTCATTTCTATCCATGCTGGTGTCGCTTGCAGCGGGCTAAGACGGGACATTCCTTTGCGCGCCGCGTCCGTGAGAGCCAATGTGACTGGAGCCTGTAAAAACATGGCTAATCTTCGCCTTGGACATCCATGACGCTTGAGTGGCGCAACGACGTCCTCGACTTCATCGTTGCCTGGGCGGTTGGCACAATAAGCCGACATTTTATATGCAATTTTCGAGAAATAGGCTGCCGAGTTGACTTACAGGATCTTCAGGCCGCCTGTAAATAAGGGGTCTCTCATGCCCATGACACATGGCACGCACAGAATTCTTGGTAGGGCAGAAGGCTTATTCCAATTCTTGAAAATAACCCGTCAAAGGAAGCATCGAGTTCTGCGCATCCCTGACCCCTCAATATGAACATGGTCAGCTTTAACTGATGAAGGATCAGCGCGCACGTCCCGACAAGCACGCATGTAGCAAAGTGGCTGTTATTTCGAGATGAACCTATAAACAAACAACTGGTCACCATCAGTCTACACCTGGAGTCTCCCAAAATCCAAGCCCGGCTGCTAACCTGAAGTCCGGAAGCGCGGAACGGAGTATACCCAGCCAGGCCTCTACAGATAACGCGCGCACATGCGGGTCGATGCCCTAAGTTAGCGCTCAGCGTTACACAGGCCAACTCTCACTCGGGTGAATATTTCCCGTTGCACATGGGCAGGCTGTGCCCTGATCATTGTGGCGGCAACGATGTGGGCCAATGGCTTTTCAGGCCAAAATCGTTCTGTCAACCCATCATAAAGTCACCTGATCTCATGGCAAATAACGGCTCAGCTAACAAAAGCTTTGCTAACGACAAGCATCCAACCGGTTCAGGGATCTGCAATAATTGAATTAGTACTTATGTAATTTAGTCTATACGCCACTTAAAACTGCCCGCTATTACGTCAGAAAACAAATCAGTTGCATCAGTGGAATAAGATTGTTTCCGAGTTCAAAGTCCCTGGTAAGAGATTCAGCTTTCTTTTTTTCTGAGCCTCTACGATCTACGTTTCTTCCAAGCGAATCAAGGTCGTACAATTCGGTGATAGTTAAAATAGATCTATGAGGTTTCTAGATTTTGCTGGAAGTCATTTATTCGTACGATATTCCAGATTTAGCAACAAAGCTGCTCTCAGTAACACGTAGCATTGTGATGGTCAATGGGCTGAAACATGTTCGAGAAGACTGCTGTAACATGAAGTTACCGTTACATTTGCTACATTTCAGCCATACTTTACCACTTAGTTGTCAAGAGAATCTCGGCCAGACTTCAAGGTCTAAGCATTTAGTTTACCAAATATCTGTTGCATAGAATAACAAAGACGCTCAAGTCCAACTTGAGTCGGTCACGGGGTTGCGTGGAAGTTTGCATAGGGCCGAGGCTAATCAGGATTTCTACAATCTCACTAGCACATAGCGATATTGGCGCTCAAGTAGGCTGCAAAATTTGCTCAATAGGTTGCTAAAGCGATTAGTTGATTTTAGCGAGAGGCATGAAAGCTAAAGAGGATTCAACAGCTAATTTAATGTTTGAAAGTTATCTCTTTGAAATAAAAGTTTCTCTCGTTATTGTAATTTGAATCGAAAATTGCCAAAAAACTTTATATGCTGGCTACAGATACATATTGAGCTGCACAGTAGCTCCTAATGTACTCTGCGCTGAAAGTCTATATCCGTAAGATCATTGTAAAATTCCAGTCAGAACCATCTACTTATCAAGAGTGTTGTACAAGTCACGGCAACACATCAGACAGGGTTGCTTTTCTCGAAATGCATGGTTGCCCAGTTAAAAAGAAAAGCTTTGCAAGGAAGGACCACAGAAATAACAATGACAAAGCCATCAGAATCATTGAATGGCATTGAAAAGGATGTGGCTTCGGATGGGTATTTTAGCCATCAAAAGCCTAAGTTCTTGGGAATAATACTTTTATACCGTTACATGGGTGAGAATCATATCTTCGTTGAAGGTCAGGTCGATCATAGCCAATTATCACTGCTAATTTCATTCTTGACATCATTGCCGTTTTCGTTATCATTACTGACATGAACAGGTCTGTTTGAATAGGAATACGAATAAGATTGTTGACCAGCTTGTGGTGATGCAAGCTGTACACTTGATGGAAATGGGCCTGCCGCTTGATTGGAACGACTGGGGTGAAGGTTGTTTTCGGTAGGGCTTGGGATACCGTAACTGTTTAAGTATGGCCCGGATATTGGAGCCATGAATATTCCAGATGAAACGTTAGAGTTGCCACGTTGGTGGCGAAGAGGTGCCTGAGTTGGCTCATTGTGATCATTTGGACACGTAGATCCGTTATTAGAGGTATTACGGCCTTCGTTGCCTTGTATCTTGGCCTGGATTCGACGGCCGTATGGAGTTGAGCGGATAGCGGGAAGGTGGGGCCGAATAGCTTCAATGAGCCGAGTCTTCATTGATAGATTTGCATAGTCAAGGGCTGTCTGTATAACGTAATTCGCGAATGAATCACGAAGTAATCTATCAAGCTCGCTAGGTTGGAGCATCTCTTCAATGAGACTATCTTTTGAAGCCTCTTGAGCACAGCGAAGGCACTTTTCGATGACATTGGAACTGAATTTCTGTTTTGAAAGCTGACCAACCCTGCCTTTAAACATTGCGACAAGTGGTTCTGTGAAGATAGACTCGTTCAAGTCAAGGATGTATTGTACAACATAATTTCCGAATGGGTCTTGCACGAGGACATATGCATTATTTGAGATCTGACGTATAAGCCAAGCTTTCTGTTCGCCATCTGCATGATCTATGCAACGTTGAAGGACACAACAGCCGTGCCGATGAGTGCCGACGTCAACACAATGCTTTCCGACAGCGTCGAAGATGAACTGAGCATCATGGGATGTAAGCTTGTTTAGGCACTTCTGAATGACATGGTTCCCGTTAAGATCTTGAATAAGCTCAACTACTCTGTAACGGAGAGCAGCGATGATAGTCTCGATCTGGCCCTGGGTAGTGATATGCTCGATCATCTTTTGCAGAGCACGGGTTCCATGCTGATTGAGGGCAATACGCACCAGATCACGAGACGCATTTTCAATAAGAACAGTGCGTTCATTGTCATTGCAGTATTCTAGCAATTTTTGACATAGGTAATTGCCAAACGGGTCAGTCATCAGCTCAATCACGTGTTTATTTGTCTCAAGCCATATTTGGTGCACTTCATCAGGATTTCGCTCTTCGAGTTTTTTTTGTAAAAAGCGGCATCCATGTTGGTCTTTACATAGGGTATATATCTCTCCACCAAGTGACTCTAAACTCATATTGGCGAAGCGGTTCATGGCTAATGGCTCATTAGCTGGGCTAATACATATTCATTTTGTTCTACTTGCCTTCTCCATCATTCTGACGGCGCTGTTGAATGACACGTGCCTGGTTGTCGCGAGGGCTCGTCTGAGAGGGTAGCCGTGGGGTGACATATGTCTGTGTGGAAGTATACGGATAAGGATTAGAATATAATGTCTGTCCCATGTTCATGTTTTGAATGCCTGACATTAACATTTGCATATTATAAAATGGCTGCTGAGCTGGGTATGTTTGTTGAGAAGTTGGAGACAATGGAGTGTTAGCTGGAGGTTGACTCATGGGAGTCAATATCGGCCCAAATGGTGGAGCACTCGCATGTAGACCGGACTGAATTGATTGGTATCCTCCATTCTGCCCGTCCCTTAATCCAGCGCTTTCATTTGTCTTACCTTCACGGTTCAACCTATTGTTGACGGCACCTGGGGGTATACGGCCTAAGCTGGCATTGTGGTTGTGCAAATACTGCTGAGCATGAGATATAGATACATTATTCGGCGTGGAACTCCCATTAGTGCTTGCTCTTGTGCCTTGCACATCATTGTTAGAAAAAGTTGAAGTCAGCTTAGTTGGAGTATTAAGTGAATTCTTGATAGGCGATGTGACTTGAGATGCATTTTCTTGGGGCACAACGAAGGTTTGTTGGTACTTCAGATCCAGGGAATGTCGATAAGACTGACGAGATCGCGGGGTGGTCTCATTCGTTTTGTGCTTTGCTGAAGTGGCCGATCCACTAGGGCGTGTCCTATTGATCGACGTAATCTGTTGCGACAAGGAGGGCCGATGACGATTGACTAGTGTACTCCAACCAGTCGGTTCGGGTCCTGGTGACTGTGATAGAGCTAGATCAAGTGCAGCTGATGAAGCAGAGAGCTGTGTATGTTAACGGAGAATCAAAGAAATGGGCAAGGACAATTACCAGGCCAGGAAAGTCCTCACGACGAACAAGTATTGGAAAGTTATCTTCCGTTGCATTCATTTGCAAATAATTGTTTATGCCGCCTGATGTGGTGGAGTCATCCTCTCCAAAGAGAAACCGAGTAGTATTGGTCTGGTCCAGCGAAATCTCATGCAATCCAGATCGTGACTTAGTGACGGGCATAGAGTATCTATTTAGGCTATCGATGTAATAAATGTAAGCCACATCAAAAGAGGATTGGGGAATTGGGCACATGAGACAAGCATTTGATAGGATTGGATTTAGGTGCCTTGTGAAAATCAAAATACAAGGATTGACCAAGTTTTGGCATTAGACGAATCTAATGAGGGCTGGAATTGAAATTGCACTACACAAGGGTACAAATTATGCTCAAGGAATATCAAGCATTAAACACAGAGTAGCTGTGAATCCAAGGTCTTTATTGAAAAGCTCGATGGCACTTTCTTGCAAATCCTTGTACGTCTGAGGGCCCCAATAATAAGAAATATTGACAAGATATCCTGAAGTGCAAACTATTTTGCATGACTGCGCGTCAATAATAGAAAACTTCACTTGAAGTTTACAGTGGACCCTAAAGGGTCCAACTTAAGGACTAATAGTAGGTATTGTCGCGGGAAAACGCAAACGAGGATTGAAGCAACTTACGCGTTGGTAGATCGATGACTAGTAGGATCTTGCCTGACTGCTTCCGCCTTATCATCTTCATCGCTATTACTTCTGGAGCCAAGTACTGTAGTAGACGGAGGTTTTTCGTTCATTACTAGTCGGGGCTGTAAATTGTTTGACTGGGGGGATGTGATTTGAGAGCCTGATCTAGTTGGTCGATTATAAAGACCAGGTGGAGATGTTAAGCTAGATGCTGAATATCGATTTGGTCGTGAAAAAGCAGAGGGAAAGCCCGATGAAGACTCACGGTATTCTGGAGTCGTAGGCTCGGACTGATGACTTTGTCTGGAAGTACCGCTGCTCCTTCCCAAATCTTCTTGCATCTGTGCAAGCTCTTGTTCTTCCCGCCGTTGTTGTATATCTAGTAATTGCATCTCTGCTTCAAATCGTCTTTTCTGTTCTCGGAGTCGCTCGTATACAAGCTTTTTTTTTTCTAGCTGAACAACAAATAAGCGAAATGACAAAAAGCTCACACGGATAAGTCAAGTGAGATGGTTCATTCCTGGAGAATCCGGGTTCCAATTAAATGCTCATAATGGTAGTCGTAGAAAAGAGCAAAGGGATTCTAATGCTTACAAGTTGAACTTTGTGGAAGGTCTGTGAATATGCGAGTTAGCCATGCCTGGCTGTATATCGCGCATAGCGTCGAAGCAATCGGACACTTTCGAGAACATAGTTAGAGGGAAGTGAAGCGTACCGAGGGTCCGTAGTCTTGAGCATCCTGACCACCTCTCTGACTTGTAATTGAGGCGATCGAAGGCGCACACAAAGAATCAGCAGTAAATCTTCTCATTAATCCGCTGCGATTATCATGATGGAGGGAAGGGCCATTTCTTGTTGGTGATACCATGCCTCCAAGCAAGGTTGTATCGCTGCGCGGAGACTGTTGTTTGTGGAAACGCAGCTCATCAATTTGATTCGAATTGTTGTTTGAATATGACATGGCGCAGTAGCTTGATGTATCGATTAGATAGCTAGAGGGTATCAGCCTAGCGGCTCACAAAAAAATGCACACGGAAGAGAGTTCTAAGCGGGGTGCAACAGAGTTATCCCAAGGGTTAATTACTGCTTTTGCAACCATCGGACTCGATAGGTGGGGTCGGCCAGTTATACAATTGGAATTAGCTAACCTTCTGAACTAATAAGGCAGTGATGAGGATCGTAGCGCGTCATGGAGAAGATAGGAATCTGTAGGAGATAGTCCCGCAAGTGAAGGTGAAATACAAGGAGATATTGATAGGGAAGAAGAGAGGAGATGAGAACTTTGTTGTTAGCAACCCTGTCAGCTATTTCACACGCTTAAGTATGCTATTAGACATTTAGTCACCAGGATGACTTACAGCGAGCAAGCAAGCGCGCCAAGAAAGGCCCAGTCGGCTTTCCAGCAAAATGGGATTGTGTGGCCAGGGACAATAGCGAGGTAGCAAAGAGTAGGCGGCTGATGCTACTGCCACCTCGCAGTGGAGAGGGGAGGGATGTTCCGATTGGGATTGTTCGATTCTTCATGAGAAGCGGAAATCCCCCGTCCCCTTCCCAGGATGCTGGAAGGGTCGCCTGGGCTAGCGCAATCAGTCTACTTGAGGGTGAAAGCAACCTAAACCCTTCCCTACCTTGCCTCTCTGTGATCACGGCTCGTTGCAGTCTCAATGACGAAAAGAGCGGCGGATTGTCTGTTTAAGGCCCATGAGATGACTGCTCATTCGCCGATGTCCTGAGAAGAAGTCCACATCACGGAGGACGCGGCTGGTTGAGTGGAAGTTGAGACGGTGTGATCACCTTGGGGCCGCCAGATGATCATGGAAAGCCCAATTCTTGCAGCTTACGACCCGATCCCGGACTTTGAAGATCGAAGGAGGTGAAAGCCGAGGCCCTTCCTCTTCCCCGCCCCCACCAGCACCGGGTATTAATGCTTGCGCCGTCAATACTATTCGTTGTCAGGGTATCTCACTAAGCCAGAGGCAGTTCTCATCCTTACCCAGACTCTCTCAACCCCCACGAGCCCAGTGACATCGTATCTAAAGGCACCGAACACACTTTCTCACGGAGCGCCCCTTGTTCTTGTTGTTTCACCAAAGGAAACTATTGTCCACATACCACTGACTTGGAAGAAGTGCACACCGTGTACAAAAGCCTGTGACGCGGAAGCACAAAGAAAGAACAGATGCAGCAGGGAGTCCCCCCGTAACAGCCCATGAAATCAAATTTAGAACTTTCCGACGCAAGCAACAACGGATCTGTCCTGGACATGTCAGCCAAACTAGACTGAAGTGAAGCTCTGAGCTATATCGCCAACCAACTTAGGGCAGCGAACAGATCTCGCTGGACACTGCTCTGCCCGACCGGGCAATATGATTGGCATCGAAACCAGATGCAGCGCCATGGCTGTAACTGATCTCAAGTTCACGATGGGGGTTTTTATCGAAACCCGTCGGTTAGAAGCGAAGGCACCTGTTTGGAGCAAGATCCCTTTCTCACTAACAGCGTTGTCCCCGCCCAACGACAACATGCCAGTCACGCAGCTTACAGGACTAGCTTTAATCTTCGGTTCGCAGTAACATTGATCCACCCTAACCATTTGTTCGCCCACGGTAGCCTTGATAATTTTTAGGCAAAAGTTGTGATCAGTCATTGAGCCATCATAATATCTGCTCTGGACTAAAACTGTTAGTAATAGTGATCACTTGTTAATTGGTGACCAAATGTGTTGGCTGTGATAAACCTGATCGGACAAAGTCGAATTTATTTGCTACTTCCAGGTCAGCCTGAGTCCGACGGAGAAACTTTCAATCTTCCGCCCGCTACCTTAGTAATTTAAAATTCACGAACCATGTCGGTTGCTGCAATTACCACAGCTATCTCGGAAATTCCTCCGAGAACTGATATTTCTTCTTCTTATCAACAGCGATCTAGTCTACTAACATCCAGCTTGCTTGTTTATTTAGAATTATTCAAGACAGGCTTCGTAAAGGTTATCGCCCCTTGGATTTTATCTAGCATATCAGATATAGGCCTACTCGTTCCGTCATGTGATGTAAAGATATGCATGTGCGTAGAGGGTCTTGATAATATTGGGTGCAGATGCTGGCCTCTTCGCCAAATTAATTTGCAGATATGCAGTCCTCTTCTAGTTTACATATAGCCCCAGATAAAATTCGTGAATAGATTGACTAGCTTAATACGCCGATTTCGCCGCTTTGACCAAAGGGGCGTACGATGGCGGTCGGGCCGTGCTAGATTGTGAACAGCGATCTCCCGCTTTCCAGGCGATAGAGTAACAAGGCTACCTAGGGTCTAGCAAAAAGACCGGTCTTCATGGCATGTGGCTGCAACTTCCGGCCCGATAACTTGCTCTACATATTTACTATAAAATCCCAGGCAGAAGAACCGCTTCCGATTTATGATGTAAGACTCTAGGAACCAGCATCGATACCCTATCAGATCACGACTGCCATGTTCGAACTATTTTGAGGTTAAAAATATCTCAATTGTACATAGCTAATTCCTTGCATTGCCGGTCGGCTCGGTCGTACAAGTCCCGTTAGGAGAAAGCTGTCTGCTAGAATTTAGATGATAATTTTGGAATGAAGGATTGGTCGGTGACACTAAGGTCGACACTGTAATGACTGAGACATGGAATATCTTGCATCAGCGCGTACTGTTAATAATGTTACTTCAATGGCGTTATCTATCACAATTTATCAACATGTATTGTCGGAAAAGTTGAATTCTTAACCTTCTAGTGATACCGGTGTAATCGCTCAGTATGCTCTGCATATCTGAGGTAGCGAAGAAGACTTGCATCTGAATCGAAGCCAAAAGCAAATACAAATTGTTAGACTCTACGAGTCAATTGAATAATGAATGAAATAAAAGTAAAAAGTGTCAATTAATTCCTGGCTGCCATTTCTCTTACTGATACTATCTAGATTATGTACGTCTAGAAAATGGCAAATGCTCTATGTGTCCCTAACTTGTCCCCATGAATCGAGTTTCTCATGGTTTGGAACGAAACATCTCTAGTGAGAAGATATAGAGTTCCAATTGCTACAAACCAAGCAAAACAACTTTTTCCGAAACAAGTAACTCCAAGCTTTGTAAACCTAACTCCTTAAACTTTATATCTGACATTAATCGCCTCCAAACTATCCACAGTTTGATACTAATTCATACTGTGCAAATATAATCCTTTTACCCGCATGAAATAACGAAGGGAAAAGGACTTCTCTAGGTGTATGATCGAATGAGGGCTTGTGATGGATGATTGTTGGAACAGTAGTCACGTATACTCTAATAATAATCGGGATATGTATTAAACCATTGTAACAGTAGTGCAACTTATGTAATATTATCTTGGCATTCTCACATGATACCAAGAGGATTAGAATATATGGATAGAATAAATTATATGTGAATGTTATTATATCGTTTTACTGAATGTATTTTATAGTCTTTTGTTTACGCACGTATACCGTATTGTACCGATAGTGGTACTGTTTTAGGGGAGCTGTACGGAAGGCAAAGAATGGTATATGCTACTGGTATAGGTATCTATGGCCTGTAGGCAGAGGGGACCTGCATGTCCGATAAAGTCATAGACTGAGAAAGGACAATAAAATTACAATATATATCAGTGTATATTTTATCTCGCTAATTCGGAAATATTTTGTGATGTGTTATATGATGAATACTGTTCCCACCAGAGACAGTATTACCTCTGTGAATTTTACCAACACTTGTAGTCATCCAAAATGATTAGCCTTCGTCAACGTCATATTGCCTAACTCAGTCAAGGATATCAAAAAATTCAGCACTTTTGCTTGCCCAACTATAGCATGACTTGATGACATTTTCTGGAGTCGTTTGATGAAAAGAAGGGTTTTAGTATGTGACACTTTTCAAGTTGATTCAATTTATCACATCAACGTCTTTAGAGTATGGATTAAATAGATTTAACACCTGTCTGCGACGTCCTGTACGATTGTAGGAGTCAAATCTCCTCTCAGAGCCAATTTCAATCAAATATCATAACACCAAAGAAGTTTGTTCTAGTCTGTGATTCTAGACTCTCGTTCACATTAGTCTTCCACTTTCAAAAAATCGGTCCAGACCGGATTCTTTTCAAATGTAGAGGTTAGAAATGTAAAATCCTTAGTGCAATTATTATACCTCTCTTTGACTTAGTTGTTGGCCCAAGTAAGCTTCCAAATACACGCCGTCGACAGAATACCCGCAGGGAGAAACCGATCGTGGCGCATAAACTTAGTGTGGCAGATCTTCGGGATGGAAGAGAGATGTGCAATATTATGCTGAGGATGTATTGTCTCATAAATGATGGGATTCCGATAACTCGGTAGAAGCTTCTTGCATTGAAAAGCACTCAACCCGCCACGACCTCGTGTGCTTCAATATAGACGACACTTTGAATGTAGTGCTGGCTAAATGGTGTAGCGGTATCTACTTCGGACTATTTTCTCACCCATGGTACGGAAAGCTCTTCTCAAACTCGGCTTGAGTCAGGAAATGGCTTGTTCGATTGCAGAAAAGATCGACGATAACTAACATGATGCTCGTCAGCGGGAAGAGGCAGGCACACTTAGATAATCAGAAATTTTGGGAGTTAATTTTGGAGGGAGCCCAGATGCGACGGTCAACTGTTTGGTGTAAACAAAAATACCTCACAGTGGTGTTTTGGGAGGAAGTCCTGAGGTTGAATACCTCTGAAATCAGGAGATTTAAGCCATGATATAATACCAGAGAAAAAGTACATTTTCGGTAACCTTGGGTTTGGTGTAGCAATGTAATGTATTCTCTCTCTGTCTATTCATTTTCTACATGAGCACTATATTGTGATTCAATTGTGGGCAGCCCTTGCTCTAAGCACAGGCCATTCATCCAACACTTTTCGAGGTCAGGTGACATAACACAACGTGTTACTGCAGCCTAACTGGGTGAGGGGATGACAAGGCAATCGTTCATCATCATCATACATAACAAATGACTCAATGAAAAGAAGGAGCATTCATGCCTCAGATTTCATTTTCAGGTAATATTACGGAGTCATGGTGGCTTTTTCTTCACCCCAAGTCAACCCTCATCCGTGAATACCCACCCAGGGGAACGTCTCAAAAACCCTGAGTTATCCAGACATGCCTCCATCATCTTTCAACTTTTCTCCGCGCGAAATATGGTCTGAGATATCTCCTTCCTAAGTGGAGTAGGTGCCCAGGCTACTCAAACTATACCGGAGAACACCACCAGGGGGCGGACCACAACACCTTTCATCGTTTGCTTGTTTTTATAATGTCAACTGCAATCTCGCAAGCGAAGTCTTGACGCGCACAGAGCTCAATTTGTAAAACTCCTTGCCAAAATTCAAAATTGCACGCCCGTCGAGATTTTATCCGTCTTCCGTGTCATCTAGTGAACTTGTTCTGATCCCTATCATCTTCGCTTCAAAGAACTGCCTCCCGAATTTGTACGCCACGCTTTGCTTCCTCCTGCGGGTATAAATATCGGCATGGACGCATATTTTGTGATCAGCAGAGGCCTTAGAAAGTCGACGAGAGGTGTGATCATTGGAGTGAGGATGTACTAGGCCCTACTTGTAGTCTTGATTAGGCTTGGGTAGAAGTCGATCTCGTTGAGTGTGGAAAATTGACGTGGTGGAGTATTTTGAATCATTGCCTCATGGGCCAACATGTTCGGTGATGTGTGAAAGGACATCATATTGTTGTTCACAAATCTGGGTACGAATATGACATAATATTATATCTACAGATGAGAAAGTTATCGACGCGCGCGCGACATGTTATTTCCCACCGAGCGCGTTTTCCCGTGACACTAGCGCGCTCTTGTTCAAAGCCGGAGCCGGATATTTGCGAATCCACACAAAATGCTGCAAATTGTAGATCAGATTGGATGCACATTACAGTCCTAACTGAATCAATAACTATTGAGGACACCTAGAATCTACATGAAAGATACTAGCTAAATTTTTGATGTTCCAATTGTTTAACTTTAAACTTTCCTCTCATAGATAGTGAGGGACAAGCTCTAGTGTATTCTTGTGCTTTCGGAATAACACCCTTGACTTCGAACTAAAAGCACGCCTGTAATCTGTATCACAGAATGCCTGTCAAGTCGTAAAGTCTGGGTGTAGGTTGGTTTTCAATTCCTTATCCAAAAACTCCTTAATAATACAAATACGCTAATGCAAGTCTGCCTAAGTAAACGACCATGATATGTCAGGGCATCACCTGACCTGGATACACATTCTACAGCCTGTAACACATTGCAGAATTTGACTGGACTTGGCGCTGGAAGAATATTTCACTCCCAGGTTCGTACAGAGGGAGGGAGAGGCGTGATTATTGAACTACTTGAGTATTACACTATCTAGCACATTGAGCTCCTCTTTGGCCCTGGCCACACCTCGTACAGTGCTCCTATCCTCTTTTGTCCCTTGAAAGATCATTTATTTTTGCCCGTAATAAATGGCTATTTATCTCAGTATTTATCCATGGAATTCTGCCACCTTTTCCAGGGAACCTTCTACCCAAAAGAAAGAGTAAATTGTAGCAATGAAAACTGCATGCGCGGGAAAAAGTCTCAAAATACCTGCAGCCCCAGCCAGGCGCGGCCTAGACACCGGGACCAAATGAGGTGCGCATATTCATCTATATCTCCCTTATCTGTAATATTGGAGGCCGACTTGGTCCAATCCACCGTCACCGTATCGGGTGGTGGGTACTCTCTGGAAACTCATAGGATGTCATTTCCTCCATGATCAAGAATTGATGATGAGTAGGGCTCCGACCAGACCATCTGATCTGATCGTGGTTAGCTTCATAATAATGGTGATAGCGAGGTTGTGTTGAGGGTTGAAGACGCTACAGACCACGAAAGCGATTGGGAACCCTCGTCGAAGTGAGGAATTTGTTACTCAATCTCGGCTACGAAGGCTTTATGGTGAGAACTGGAGGTTCGTAGGGGACATCACTACCGGGTGATGAGATTAGTTCTCCAATTAAATCTAAAGTAATCGGGTAAAATTATGCTAAGTCTAACTAGTTTATTTTGAGTAGATCCTGGAAGTCCTCCATACTTACAGCCCCAGATAGGACTACAACATAAATCTAATTTGATTTATCTCTGATTTCAATCTCTGGAATCTCAAATCATATGCCCACGCCATCACTGTATTCTTGCCTGTGGTGTCTGCGAGGGTCTTGTTGGAAGAAAACTCCTTAGGTCGGTGTTTACATTTTCCGATTTCCTTCTGCCTAGGCATATAATTCTCACGCACAATGATATTAAGAATTTTTAGATTGCGCCGTCTCAGCTGTGCGATTTAATGGGTCCCAAGAAAAAGTCAGCTGTAAGATTTGCAGAAACTACAGAATCGTTCAAAGAACGACAAGAAAGATTGGTAGGCTAGTGGAACCAGATCCTAAAAGAATTTAGACTCAAATTTACAGCAGACAGGAGATGTGAACCTTTCTAAATCTCACGTGTTATCGGAAAGTATTGTGTCAGATATTCCTGAAGATTTGACGCAGAAAAATCACAGAAATGAGCCAGATGATGGATTTTCTGCCCTACTGGAACCATTTTATGCCGGCAAAAGGTACCTACATCAGCATCATTTTCTAAAAAATTTCTAACTATGATACAGTTTAACCGATCCTATTAATACTGCTAAGGCAGGAAATAGAACCTTTTGACTTAACTCTAAGACTAACTTAATTTAGGATAAATGGAACTTATTACCCGCTTTTCTAAAGGTAAAGGGTCTTGTTAAGCAGCATATTGACTCTTTCAACTACTTCGTCGAACACGAAATTAAGGATATTGTCAAAGCGAACAAAGAAGTTACCAGTGATGTTGACAGTAATTTCAAGCTTGAGTCAGGGCTCTATCTGAAGTTAGTAGTCAAATTAATATGAGGATAGGTACACTGATGTCTATGTCGGAAATCCAGAACGATTGGATTATGATGATAGGAGATCTGTAAATGAGATAACTCCAAACGAATGCCGTCTTAGGGATATGACTTATGCCGCACCTATCAGAGTTGATGTTAAGTATCTACGAGGAAAGTCCATGGTATTCAGGAGGGGTGTTCCAATAGGCAGGTTACCTATTATGTTAAGAAGTTCCAAATGCCGTCTTGCAGGAAAAAATGACCGCGAAACAGCGTATATGAATGAATGTGCATTGGATCCGGGAGGGTACTTTATCGTCAATGGCACCGAAAAAGTTATTTTAGTGCAGGAACAGTTGAGCAAGAACAGAGTAATAGTAGAGACAGATCCGAAAAAGGGCATCGTATCTGCATCAGTCACAAGGTAAAGGTTTTATTCTTCGCAAATCAAAGCATGCTAATCAATTCAGCTCAACTCATGAGCGTAAGTCTAAAAGCTATGTCATTTTGAAAAAAGAGAGGATTTATTTGCAGCATAATATTCTACAAGAACCAATTCCTATTGTAATCGCACTCAAGGCATTGGGTGTACAATCCGATCATGAGATGTTACTTTTGGTCGCAGGCACAGATAGTACTTATCAGGACGAATTTGCTGTGAACTTTGAGGAAAGCTCTAAAGTTGGTGTTTTCTCGCAACATCAAGCTTTAGAATATCTTGGAAGTAGAGTGAAGCAAGGATCCCGTCAAAAGCAACAAGGTGCGATGCCACGAAGATCTCAGATAAGTGAGGCAATAGATGCTCTTGCCAATATAATCATAACTCATGTTCCGGTGCATGGACTGGATTTCCGGCCTAAAGCTCTTTATGTTTGCTTTATGGTTCGACGCATTCTGATGGCTATGCAGGATCCAAAACTTGTCGATGACCGAGACTACGTAGGGAATAAGAGGCTTGAACTCGCCGGGCAACTATTAGCCCTTCTATTTGAAGATCTATTTAAGCGATTCAACTCTGATTTGAAAATGAATATTGATAAAGTTCTGAAGAAACCAAATCGCACTATGCAATTTGACGCTTACACACATTTACAATCAGGGGGTAACACCATAACTCAAGGCATGTCTCGAGCCATTTCTACTGGAAACTGGACTGTCAAAAGATTCAAGATGGAAAGAGCTGGTGTTACTCACGTTCTCAGTCGGCTAAGCTACATCAGCGCCCTTGGGATGATGACACGAATTAGTAGTCAATTCGAAAAGACGCGTAAGGTTAGCGGACCACGTGCCCTACAACCGTCACAATTTGGCATGCTTTGTCCATCTGACACGCCTGAAGGAGAAGCCTGTGGTCTTGTAAAAAACTTAGCCCTTATGACACATATTACTACATACGATGATGAAGAACCTATCAAGAAATTGATTTTTGTTCTTGGCGCAGAAGACATCGTTTCTATGAGTGGCAAAGAGATATATGAAAAGGGGGCGTACGTAGTATTTATCAACGGAACACCGATTGCCCTAACAAGACAACCAAAATCTTTTTTTATCGCCTTCCGAAAATTCAGACGAACGGGTAGAATATCGGAGTTTGTGAGCATATTTATAAATCATCATACAAATGCTGTTCATATTGCCACAGACGAAGGCAGAATCTGCCGTCCTCTCATTGTAGTTGAAAATCAACAGTCAAAAGTTTCTAGAAGACATCTTCAAGCTTTGCGTCAAGGTACAATGGAATTTGATGACTTCCTTTATAAAGGTCTTGTCGAATATGTTGATGTCAACGAAGAAAATGATTCAAATATTGCTCTCTATGAGACTGAAATAAACGAAAATACTACTCATTTAGAAATTGAACCTTTCACTATCTTAGGGGCTGTTGCAGGTCTAATACCATACCCCCACCATAACCAGTCCCCTCGAAATACCTACCAATGTGCCATGGGCAAGCAAGCTATTGGCGCTATTGCATATAATCAGTTTTCTCGTATTGATACTTTACTTTACCTCATGGTCTATCCTCATCAGCCGATGGTAAAGACTCGAACTATTGAGCTTATCAAGTATGATAAGCTGCCGGCTGGTCAGAATGCTACAGTAGCTGTTATGTCATACTCTGGATACGACATTGAAGATGCGCTTGTCCTGAATAAAGCTTCCTGTGACCGTGGGTTTGGTCGCTGCCAAGTATTTCGGAAGCATTCAACTCAGTTACGAAAATACCCTAACCGCGCAGAGGATCGACTCGGTGATCGTGAAATGGATGAAAAGTTTCCAGACCAACCTATTGCTAAACACGCAATCCTGGGACACGAGGGAGTCGCTATGCCCGGTGAGAAAGTCGAATCTGGTCAAGTCTTTCTCAATAAACAAGTACCTCTAAATACATCCTCAACAGGTATAGGGTCTGACCATAGAATAAATGATTACAAGCCAGCGCCCATGAGTTACCGTCTACCAGATTTCTCCTACATCGATAAAGTAATGGTTTCTCAGACCGAGACTGATGCAATGGTTATCAAGGTACAGACACGCCAGACGCGTCGACCTGAACTAGGCGACAAGTTTTCTTCTCGTCACGGACAAAAAGGAGTAGTTGGCATAATTGTAAACCAAGAAGATATGCCTTTCTCCGACTCAGGAATCTGCCCTGATATTATAATGAATCCTCACGGTTTCCCTTCTCGAATGACTGTTGGAAAAATGCTTGAACTTCTTTCCGGAAAAGCTGGTGTTTTAAATGGGAGTCTTGAGTATGGTACTGCGTTTGGAGGTTCCAACGTAGATGATATGGGCGCAATTCTCGTCAAACACGGCTTTTCTTACTCTGGAAAAGACTTTGTTACTTCAGGTATTACTGGAGAATCTTTACCAGCATACATATTTTTTGGGCCGATCTATTACCAAAAGTTGAAGCATATGGTTCAGGATAAGATGCATTCCCGCTCGCGAGGCCCACGAGCTATCCTCACACGCCAACCAACCGAGGGACGCTCTCGCGATGGTGGTCTCCGCCTTGGTGAAATGGAACGCGACTGTTTGATCGCATATGGAGCTAGCCAGCTGCTTCTAGAAAGGTTAATGATTAGTAGTGATAGACACGAAGTAGAAATTTGTGAGGTATGTGGACTCATGGGTTATAAGGGTTGGTGTCAAACATGTCAAAGCACCCGTGGCGTTCAAAAAATGGTTATGCCGTACGCTGCAAAGCTCTTAGTCCAAGAAATGCTCAGTATGAATGTTCTTGTACGCTTAAAGTTAGAGGACGAGTTTCCACATCCCAAATAGTAAATAGACATTGCAAATACTGATATAAACCCTTTTCAGAGCTTTAGTAACTAACCAACAGGATACTGGGATTGATTATATAACCAACGAAAAGATTTTCCCCTATTTTTATATAATATCTTAAAACGAAACTACTCTGATACATAAGCCGACGGAATCTGTAGCCTTAATCAGTAACAGGGTTATAATGGTGAACTAAATATCTAGCTGCGTTTCTTGTAGAAACCGTTTTTAGACTCAGAAATATTTGATTATGTCCCGCAAGGCAATGATTCGAGACCCTTCACTAAATTAATCCCTAAATACCAACGAGATTGATTCTTAGCAATGCTTCATCAACTTTACAAGTCCGAGCTAGAGTATCCTCGTTTCAATGACCACACATCTCATCAATTATTCCGCAGCCTAATCCAGTCACCGAATGTGCTCCAACGTCGATATTTATACTTGTCTGAGGAGACGACTCGCGGCACATAATTCTGGGCGGCAGATCTTCGCAATGGACATGACAGAAATCAAGACAAGTTTAGAAGGTGATGTGAAGGACGGAGGCTATCTCGACGAGTATAGGATTTTGAATGCTGACCAATAATTTGTCAAACTGAAGACCGTTGAGCGCTCCAAGACTTCGTTGGCGATAGTGTAGCTGACACTATAGAAACTAGCCAACGATGGAAGGTGTTGTGGTCCGCCTCCTGGTGGTGTTCTCCGGTGTTACGGGCTGTGCCCAGTTCGATTAGGCTGGGCTATCTTTCAGGCCCAGCCTTGTTTAATGACACTAACCAAGTGATCTATAAGAGAGTTTCTCGAGACTCGAATCACTCGGTTAATTATGCTGAGGCTGGATAACAGATCACTCAGTATCAAAAGAATACGTGTCGGGATACTGGATCACTGGTGGCTGTAGCAGGCATATTTAGTTCAAAGGATTTCCTGTAGTAAATTTCTATAGAAAAATATTAACTCTTTGTGGTACTGTTACGTGCGGTGTCCGTAATTCTCCTTGCCCTTAACATCCGGTATATTCTGAGTAGCCTGGGCACCTACTCCACTTGGGAAGGAGACGCCTCAGACCATATTTCGTGTGAAGACTAGTCATTAAATAATGGAGACATGTCTGGATAACTAAGGGTTTTGAAACTTTGCCAGGGTAGGTATTCACGGAAGAGAGATGACTTGGAGTGAAGAAAAATCCACCAAGACTCCGTAATATTACCTGAAAATGAAATTCGATGCATGATTTCTCTTCTTGTATGTTGAGTCATCCATTGTGTGCTGTTTCTCTGGTATTGTGTCAAAGCTAGGTAGCTGCTGTTTTTGTTTTGTGCATTTACGTGCTAGGTAAAGTGATTCCCGTTGCACTCCTACTGGAGCTTAAGTACGGGTGGGGCCGGGCTGGATCAGGTTAACTACCATTAAGTACATCAACCTCGTACCACCTAAATGACCGGACCACCTCAGACTTCACCCATGTGTTGAATCATGTCAAGCCCAACCGTCCAGATAACCCCCTTTTGGCGCGCCGAAGCGCAATTTCCTCCTCAGCCACGGCCACCACGCGCCCGAGCCCTTGCACCTTCGCGATCTTTAACTTTTCCCTTCTATCAAGTCCCAGCTTTGGCTCATCTCAGCATCTTCTCATCTCATACAGGGGTCGTTTTCTTCGCTGGAGGTCTCATCCAGTCGCCCACCAAGGCCTCCTCAGTTTGTATTACCTTTTTTTCCCTTCATGCAGAGATAGCTGCTGTTATGGCATGCCAAGGGATTTGTCAGGAGCTAGCTTAGTAAGTTAGCCGAACCATGTACATAGAGATTTTAGACTCTGCTCCCAGTAGTTCATTGCCCCCAACTCACACAATTGTTTTCATATCACATCGCTAGTCACCCATATTTTTCCATTAAGATATCTTCCGCACGCTCATAATCTTAACAGCTGCACAAATAATCAAAACATGATGCAAAAAAAAGAGCGGCTATCATATCACATATTTGTTCCTATTTACTTTGCACAAAATTGTTTGCGGGAACTTAGTTTAAATGGAGGGCCCGTACGTCCTGAACACTGTGTTTCTCCATTTCCAACACGTTTCTACTTCGCTCGGTGTGAGATAACTACACGAGACATGGATAGTACTTACTAAGAAATGGTTAAATATCCCACAAAAAGAGCCAAAATCTTCGACATTGAAAATACTGTGATTGAAGGCCGACCTGGGTAAAGATTAGTGACTTTATTAGGAAAATATATGGATCAAAAAATACGGACAGTCTATCTAAAATGTAAGAATAAAATTAGACATCAAATCTTGCCTTATCACAAATTAATCAGCGATTACCCAATGAATATCCCCCTTGCGCCTAGTGCTCTATGTTCACCCATTCCCAGCAGCTGATCGTTTCATGTATAATACAAAATCATAATTAAAAAAATCTATGCACTCATGGCGAGCTCATCCATATCGTAACTAGCCTCACTTCTTTGCGAGTAACTCGTCCTACTTTTGCCTGGACAGAATATTATAGACCGTGGCATGAGTTCATATTGAAAGGTATTTGACTCATCCCAGCTGAGTTCGGCTCTATCTCTTCTGAGCGATCTTTTTGTTTCGAGTGATAGGCTTGAAAAGTCGAAATTGAGTCTCAAATTCTTGTTATGAGCCTTGCGATCTACTGATACAAGTTCTGTTGATAGACGGGGGAGCTTAGGTACGTGGCAATGGAGATCATCAATTTTTTTAAGAAATTGCTGATTTGCCATTACTTTTGGGAGAAGAGGACGTTTAGGGTCCCCATTCTCATGTGCTTCAACGCGATACAAGCCGAGTCGACCATAATTGGGCCCCTGAAATATTCCCTTTCCGGGAAAGTTTCGAAGTATGCCTTGGTCAAGAAGCGAGTGTGTGTTTTTGTCGACATGTTTCTTGACGTTCTGATTCCAGTAATGCTTTGGGGGAGGAGGTTCAAGATGGGGAATAATAATTTTTGGTCTTCTATTATTCACCGACGGATGGCCCGAAGTTTTGGTAGCAGTTCCACAGTACTGAGGCTGAGAGTGGAGATAATCATCTTTTGGAAGATCGTTTTCACGAATGCCAAGAAGATGAATTTTGCCGGTACTATCTCCGATGAGCAGTCTTCTAAAATCCTTGGTAAAAGCGCCACTAGAAATTCCGCCAGAAAGTTCTAATACGTTTCTTACGAAAGCGTTTCCGGGGCTCTTACGGACATCCCACGCAATTAGTTTTCCATCCGTTGCACCGGTATAGAATCGACTTAGCTCTGCTCCCCAAGCAGAAAATGTAACGCCTCCATCAGCAAGTTCTATGGGTAAGTCTGGTTCAGGGTTGTCTAGGGATTCTAAACCACTGTCGTTAGGAATCAACTGTTTGCGGCAATTTTGCGGATACTTACCACCATGGCGAAGGATATGTATCGGATCTTCGCCTTGTGCCATATCCCACACATAAGTACAACTGTCTGTGCAGCTGGCCGTGATATATGCTTTGATAGCACTGTTAGGCCTTTAGAATGTTAATTTAGGGTCATTTCTTGAAAAAAATACTTACATGATTGTTAGTTCCGTAATATCGAGAGCTGGACAATCTAATGCCATTATACTAGTAAAAGTAAGATCGTTTAGAGCGTAGATTCGGACCTGAGTTTTTGTTCGATCACTGTCATAATTACCGGAGGGAGAGGTTGCGGCAGCAAAAACAGGTTGGTGTGGATGCCATACGACGTCAAAAACGTTTTGCATACGAGCAGATGAAACGTTTAACCTTGAACCATTCTCAGAATTCCATACACACAGTTCTCCAGTATTTTTCTTGTCACTAGGAATATTTGAATCATCACCGTCATCAGAATCAGCTCTAGGAGAATATCCAACTAGAAATAGGTTTGAGACACAGGGGGCCCTGGCCCACTTGATAGTTGCGGGCTGGTAGGCCCAAGTCTGCCGTACATGAATACCTCCGGCCTGCTCTTGCGACTTATTTCCACCATATTCATGATATGGAGAATCGCTTATAGCGTCTTTGTCGAATCGATAAACACGAACTGCATTTTTGTTTGTTCCAGCAGCTGTAGCGACTCGGTCATGGTGCTCAGAGGTGACCACGAAATTCACCTTAGCTTCATGTTTCCAGGTTCCGCACAAGCTCATTTTTGATCCATTTTCAGAAACCTGCCATACTTTGACAGTTTTATCATAGCTTGAAGTAAAAGAATATCCACTAGTAGAACTATGTGCTGTTGATACAACAGAGGTATATAGCCACGGAGACTGAGTTGCTCGCATAGAGTGAGAGGCGTTTTCCATATTTTGCGATTCTGATATAATGGGACGTTCGATTTTATGTTCAGGGTAACTCTTTACGGTATCTAGTACCACTGATCCAACAAGTAAATTTCCGGGCTTGTTATACTGCATGTTGTGAGGATCAGAATGTGCCAATGCCCCAACAATGAAGGAGTTATCATTGGTCCATGTAATAGCAGCGATATCGTTAGAGCAGTCTGCCCAATAGCTTTGAAGGTCCAATAAATCTTCTAAACAACTTGATACAACTTCTCTATAAGAAGTCTGACCGCGGCATATGCGAGCTGGGAAAAGTCCATCAATTTCGCGGTGCCGAAGCAATCGATTTATTGGGTTAAACTTATTTTTATTGTTGACACTGCTCTCGATGAAAGACTTTTGTTCTAGCTTGGACTCATGTTTTAAAAGAGTACTGCTAGCTATATCTAAGAGAAATGCTGAAATATCATTTCGCGTACGGCCATGAAGTGCCTTCGACATTGCGAAGCCAGTACTTGTATAGCTGACAGAGTTAATTATTTCTTCTATTACTTCAGATTTTATGGTTATTAAATTAGCGATTGTCCCTGCGGCATCGAGATACTGAGTTGTATATTTATTTTCTAATGGTTGAACAAAGCTTATCAGACATCTTATTTCCATTTCTGAAAAAGGCACATGCAAAGATGATCTATCCGAGGAAAGTGTTATTTCATGAAAGTTTCCTAAAAGGTCATTGAGCAGACAATTTTGGTGAATATTTGTCATGTAAGGACGTAAACCAATTAAATTATATGGAATATTTTTGTAGCCACTTGAGACAGAAGAATGATATTGTTGCGGATATTCCCACTTTCCTGAAGCTCTGGTTGGCGAGTCCATGCATGTGGGACTAAAAGCTTGATGGGGACAGGCTTCAATATCAGAAGGAAATTTAGAATTAGAATAATCTTGAGGTTTGCTTCCAGCTTTCAAATCCACAAAATCGACACATCGAGATAAGTTCGGGGAAACCTTATTGAGATAGACTTCTGTGTCTTGATATCTCAAAATCTCTTCACACTCATTGGGTGTTTGCAAGTGATGGATACTAATTTCGTTCCGCAAAGCAGTGTGATAAGACTTTTTCCGGTACTTCTGATTTTTTACTGGATCATTAATGAGACGATTCACAAGTTCATCTCCTAGCATTTGACGAACACACCTGTTCACATAGGAGAATACCTGTGCTGCTAGCAAGGATTCATAATCCGAAAGTATTGTACCTCCATTCGCTTTAAAATGTTTTTCGAACTCTGGTTGCTCAATCACCTCTCGAACTGCCTGCTAAGAGTTAGATTTGACTGCCAGTATAATGATTTTTTTCTCACATCTACCCCTATTTTTACGCGGTCTTCACGATAAAGTGCATCCCGAAAAGGTCGAATAGCTTGCCGAACATGAATAAAGATTTGATTTTCAAGAACATAAACGAGCTTTTCGCGCGAGATTCCTGGCAGTTGTTCAGTATTTTCGGTCTGGGTTTCTATCAAGTTTCCTGTATTTTTCTGGTGTTGCGTATGACAAGTAGAGGATAATACTTCGGAGTCAACTATAGTAGATCCTGCATTGATAACTCCTGAAATAATTACAGCTGGATGTTTCTGAAGTGCTGGGAATAATTTTGGCTGTCCAGATATCAGGTTTTGGTAGTGCGTTAAATCACCATTCGTATCGGCAGAATGATGCAGCTTTTTTGATAATCTTCGCCTCTTGCGTTTACTTTCATTGTCTGATACGGCATTTTCGTCAGGTCCCCTCTTTCTTGTATTGTGATGTTCTTGATTGAAGCCGTTATCACTGGCCACCTTGTGTTTGCGTCTATGATGCGAAGCTGGCCTGGACGATTCAGGCGTGGGGAATTCTGTATCAAGGGCCCTTAGATCACTGCTTTTGTAGCTTATGTTTATATTAGACACATGTGTTGCATCAGTTTTACTCATGTTGTCTAGGTTGGTTCCAAGGATAGGAGATGCATGAAGTGGGCAAGTGATATCTTGAGTTGTGTCATTTTCGTTGTCACTCTTTGTGAGATCAATTACTATAGCATTTCTTGGACTGATGATGTTAGCAAATTTTTCGCAGCTTAATTATTGTAGTATCTACTTGTAAGAACGATCTCTAAGGTACTCTTCTTTTCCCTCCTCTGAGTGTTCACCGAATTTAGACGTAGGGAATAACTGAGCTCGTAGGTTCCTTACTGGTAATAGTTAGCGACATAATTGCGATCATGGGAATGACTAACAGGATCTCATATTATCTTACTGGAAACTGAAGACTGATCTTAGAAAGTTTCCTCCTGTAGAGCACATCTCGGACGCGACGGCGAGAAAGGCTAGAACCTAGGTTGCGTTGACGCGAATCAGATTCAATGAACATTCTTAGGTTTGTAAATTAATTGTGCAATATTTATTCATCACATTCAGACTGAAATAACGTTTACTAGTTTTACATACTGTACAGTAATTGTGATACTTAGGAAATATGTTGTTCGAAACCTGGAGTTGTACTGTGCTTGGCAGAGTACATCACTTGGTGGGCTGATGTTTACAACCATAATCTACAATTAGCTTTACTTACGCGTAGTTGAAGAGAGGCGCATCCAACGCGGCTCACACGGATATTTGAATCAAGTAACTGGCAAAAGTAATTCAATATCAAGAGGTTTTTTGCTCAACAGTAAACCACTGTCCTAAGTAGTTGTATGCTAAGTATTTGTCTGCATCATTTGCTTGCAGGTATTCATTGATTACTGTACAATAGTGTTTGCTTACTATTTTCATAATGAATACTTTAGAGTACACATTGTCAAGTTTAAATATGTTTCATGTTACTTGCTAGATCACACCGAGTCACAAATGATCTACCACCACCACATTCAACTGAGTGTTAGTCATCTCAATTGGTGTCCAGCTCTTCATGTCTGCGTAGATCCATTTTTCCGCTCAAAAGCGGGATCACGTACGGATCGAAGGTTTTCCAGTAGGGATTTTCGAGGTGATATTTCTGGCTCTGTGATGATTTTTCAGCATTAGTTGGCGTAATGCACGACAATACTGACGCTTTCTTGTTCAAATCGTTCTACTATTGTGAACGCTCTGGGGTCATTTACGTCTTGCATAACGAACCAGTCAATGGTTTCCTTGTCTTTGCGATAAATTTTAGCAGCTTCAATTAGTTTTGCCTTTAAGAGAGGTATCGAATCTGGATTCTCGTTGGCGTATAGATGAACAGTTATCGTGTAAACCATACTGGCTGATGATCTCTTCCGACTGATGATGAGGTCAATAATTGTGCTTAGTTAGTCGACTTTACACCTCATGCCCCGCGCGCCACATGCCAACTCTGAGCTAAAATTAAGGGGTTGTTTTATGGAGTTGACATGGATTGTCACCTGGGGTGTCAGTGATTGCTTTTTATTATTATTCTATCTATTCAGCTCTCAGCTATTCCGCCCAGATCACACACAGCGTTGTACAACGAATTAGAGTTAGGAAATGCTCACGCACTAGTTTCATTCTCAACTACCACACCGGGTGCGCTTGCTTACTACAAACGGTTATGCTTCCTCCATGAAGCCTACTACATAAACCTTACAAGCTTTCTTTATCCAAGCATCCTATTGTCATCATGTACAAGAAAACAGCAATAAATGTGGTAGTATCTTGCAGGATTCGATTCAGCGATACATCTCAAATGAATTAGATCCATAAGCCACATGACTCTATTTAGAGCCTAGCCGGATGGCGTGCCGTTGCACTATCCCTATCTCCCTTTTGGTTGATGTCCGCCTAATGAGTAAAAGTTATCATGACCGGATAGAGTAAGATGGTCGGTGGACCTAACATATAGCCCGACCGGTTATGTCTCCATCGAGGTCCACTGGAGTACTTTATATTATCTTGAAAGGCTTATACTAAATACCGATAAATATTCGGATATTAAAACTCGATTCTTCTTCGCCGGTGGTAGTCTTTGCCCGGATAAAACTTGTTAGTAGGACCATTCTCTCTAGTCTGTGAAGATGTAATAGAGCAGTGCTACTTGGAGTCGTAGGGCGCGCATAAGAAAATATCTTAGGGGTACGAATCAGGTTATTATTATTATTATTAATTCATTTTATTGTCCTGTCTGAGTCTATGACTATGTAGGACATGCAGGTTCTCTCTGCCTACAGGCCAAGGATACCTATACCAGTAGTATATCCCCTCCTACGCCTCCCATACAGCTTCCCTCAAACAGTACCACCCCTCGCAAGTCCTCATTTGATCATACACTTAAAGGAGCCTTTTGCCCTTCATTATCTCCCCTCTCCAGCCAACGAAACGATGGCCATTTGCGGGTGTATGGCAGCCGGGAAAAGTCGCTAAGACTACTGGGTGCGGAGCTCTCCTAATACCGACGTTAAGACTAAATCCGAAGACATAGTGACCCTTCCGAAGCGTTCAAAGAGGCCGGCCAGCTGGGCGCTGCAGACTTGTGGGTACCTCGGGAAATTCACACTCTGCCTTTCTAGACTTCTTCCAACTCCTTCCCGAAGGTCGTGCTGAAATGTCAGAAAAGTTTTGATAGAGCGTGATTGCTGTATGGTAGCTTAGCCCAACTTCTTTTGTACCGTCCAGGGCGCTGGGGAGTGCCGTTGACTCATCGACAATAGAAGCCCTCCTACGAATCAGGTTGGGAGCAAAGTGTAGGAGAAGAGAGGAGTATTCCCTCATAGCCGAGGAAGAGTTTTAAAACTAGTCCCGCAGAGGATCTAAAGGACAGAAAACTACGTGGCAGATAAGCTTCCCAAGGAAAAATTAACAATTCCCATTGAGAAATAGACTTTCAATTACTTCTATATTCATTAGAAATTTTGGACCGCGCTGGCTGATACGAACTATCGGCTCTCGCCATACTGTCCGTAGAGCCCAGCTTGAGTCCAAAACCAGTCCAGACATATTCTACCTAGAATAAGTCTACGGCATTATCCATTCCTTGATGCCGCAAAGAAGTGGGTCTAGGTAATGCTACAGAACAAGCTCTCTGCCAAGATTTTCCCGACATTCGAACAAGATTCCCGATCCGTCCCAAGGCGCAATTGACTAAAAGTGGTGAGAGACACAAGGTGCTTCTGTTGGGTGCACGCGAGTCCGCAGCGTCCTGCTAGGCTATGTTTATGAATACCTTAGCTTGATAGCCAGACCTTCTAAGTCCTCATCATTGCATCAAGGGAGTCCTGCATGCGGTGTTTTTATAAATCTATTGACTACTGTATTTCTGCAGACATCCTTTCCTTCGCGTGTCAAAGAGGTGAAATAATGAAGGGCAAAAATATCCTCCAGGAATATGATCGAATGAAGAATTACGAGAAACGATGAAATTGAATGTCATCTTTAAAGGAAGGTTAGCAGGAGAAGAGGTATCCGAGAAAGCGTTATTATTGGCCCATGGGTATAATAAATAATTATTACTACTATAAAACATGGGTCAGTTAAATATCTCAGAAGGAAGCAGAGCCGGCGTGAAGTTTGCGCCAGAGAAGTACCAGCTCATGCATTTCACACGTGCAAGGAAGCGCCACAACCTTGAAGCAACTGTCAGCATACGAGGTCATCTAACGTCTTCACAGTCTTCCTTCGAGTCCTTGGTATATACTACGACTCTAAGCTCCAATGGGGCTCCCATGTAAATCATATCTAACAAAAGTCACACACCGAAGTACAGTCAACTTGGGGTGCAACATTCAAGAAGTCAAAGCTTTTGCACAGCACGATAGTGAGACTAGCCCTGACTTACGGGTGTTCTATATGGGCTGCAGCTGGGCCAGCAGGTAAAATACCAGAAAGGATAGTCAAATCATTGCGAAGTTTCCAACAAAAATGCTTGAAGCTTATTATAGGGCCATATAACTCTACTAGCAGTAGGGTACCAGAACACGAGTCTTTGATTCTCCCGATAGATATCTACCTGAAACAAAGGAGGATCTAACACGTCGGGCTATCAGAAGGACTACCTGTCAGGAGATCGATACTATCTGCCTGCAGCAAAGTCAAGCAGACCACAAGGGGAACCGAGAACAGTTATGCCAAGAATCGAAAGCAAGACACTGAAGAATGGACTAGAATTTGTGGCAAGGAGAATGCGAAAGGGAGACAAAAAGAAGCCGATAAGGTGGCCGCGTCCAGGAGTGGAAAAACTCATGGATACGTCCAAGGAACGAGATACTATCTGGTCATCGAGCTTCGGCACACCCTGAACATTGGAAAGCCGCAAGTATTGTTACATATGAGACTTCAGGCAGATAAAGGATTACCAATAGAAACACGCCCTCAAATATCCACCGGAACCTTAGTAGGGCTCAAAGCAGTATTGCAGCTCAGACAAGAAGTGAGCACATTGGTCTCAATTCTTATCTGTATCGAAGGAAAGTCCCCGGAGTGATTAATCCAAAATTCCAGTGTGAATATCCGTCTCAAAATGTCAAATATATGGTCTTGGCGTGTCCTTAGTGGACAATGAGAATAGGAGAGGTGCTTCGAAAGGCAAAAGAAAGGTCATTTGTGGCATTGATGAACAGCCCAGATGATATAGAGAGAATCACAAAATGGATCCTGGCAAAAGGCTGGTTTGAACAATTCTGGCTTGCAGGAGAAGCAGAAATAGCATTGGACGAAAAGATGAGACGATGTGGACAAAGATAAGACGGAATTCACACTGTATAAACAGTGTGAACGCAATTCCTGTAGGAAACCTCAGAAAACCAATAGACACAAGACAGTCAGTTTTAGGGGGTTTTTACCGAATTTGGTTTCCTCCTGTGTGAATATTATAGCTAGATTTGCCTGGATGGGCCCACAGGGTACCTGAACAGGCTAAATGAAGTCAAATCAAAGTTAAGCAGAGCGTTTTTTCTTCATCTAAATATTATTCGAAGTTTCCAAATTTGAAGACTCCAAGAGCCTTGATTGGTTAAAGATTCCACCTCAATTTTTAATAAAGTTCTCCTGCCAATATTTGATGACAGCCACTGTGTCTAGCAGAAAAGATTCTCAAGGCACAAGAGAACCCAATTAGTGTTACTGTCTGATAGTTATTTAAGACTTGAAGTATTCCTAATCTCAAGACAAAGAGTTTTACATTTCGACTACATGTATAGGGACATATAAATCTAGAATTATGGCACCACTAGTTTTTAAATAGAGTGCTATTACATTTAAGTGACTTCTATCAATGAGTGGCTAGTTAGTAAGTCTTAGCCTCGAAGACTGGTTATTAGTCGTAAAGTTGACAAAGTGGACCAACTGTCCATTTACCTAATGTCACAGTCTAAGCATAGGCACTTGAGCAACCTTATGTTCGGAGGTAGTTTATTTTCAATATATGGTGAACTACAGATTGAAGAGGATAATAACAGCTATCTTATAGATGATTAAGGGGGACTTTTCTCAACAGCTGTCAGTGGTGTCCCCTACGAACCTCCAGCTCTCACTGTAGAGTCTGTAGAGCCGAGATTGAGTAACATCTTATCAACTTTGAGCTGAGTTAACTCCACCTCCGTCAAAGAAACGCTTCCGATAACGCATAAGACTACAAAGCTGACGATAATGATGCTGGGAATGAGGAGAGATAATGCGGTACCAAACGCTACAGCTGTAGTCAGAGAAGCCCTCGTTATATCACAACATGTGCTACCCACCGGCGGGCGAGCAAAAAGCCCAAGAAAGCAGACTTCGACTCGTCTACATTATCGTCCCTACTAATCATAACTTCCGAATCTACTAGACAGGAGGACATCTGAAATACATGAGTTACTCGACGACCCCACGTCCGTAACGACTTTTGGATGCTAGGCTAGGCTCCTTCGCGACTGTCACTCTCGACTAAGACTTTTCTGACATCCTTTCACGACCTACGATTTGTCCTGCGGCACGAATCAGGGGAGGAGTAAGGAGGAGGCTAGGAGGGTTGAGAGACACTCTTAGGTATATACAGGTCTACTGCGCCCGGCTGGCCGGCCGCTTCGTTATAGGAGAGCCCCGCACCCAGTGGTTTTTAGACTTTTCCCTGCAGCTACACACCCGCAAATGGCCATCGTTTCGTTGGCTGGAGAGGGAAGATAATGAATTGATAACGGCTTTTCTTAGTGTGTACTCGAATGAAGACCTGTGGGGGTATTACTGCTGGAAAGAAGTCGTGAGGAAGGCAAGGGAGGGAGTACACTACCCGAGGCATAGATACTTCCGGCCTGTAGGCAGAAAGGACCTA